TGTTTAGCTTGAAAAAGGATTCTGCTATGTCAACTATGTTTTGCATGTTTATCTTTGTATTTGCAACAAGCACTGTGTTATCTGCATATGCCAGCCCAGTTATATTTATTTTTTCTTCTTTTGTTTTTCTCTAGACTATTTCTATTGGCCATTCTATTTTTGCTTCTGCACTATAGTTATATTTGTGTAGTTTACATAGTAGAGGGTCAAGGTATATTCTCTATAGCAGAGCTGAGATTATCTCTCCTTGGTCTATTTCACGTTCTGGGTGGAATCTCTTTGTTAGACCAAATTTGGTAATTACTTTAACTTTCCTGTTTGTACACATGTTTATGAGAAGGGATTCTAGCTTGTTTGGGATCTTGATTCTTTTTAGTACAAGTTAAATTTCTGATGTTGACCGTATTGAATGCTTTTTTGATATCAACAAAGATTATTCAAATTTTTTTGTTTTCTTGTTTTGCTGCTTCTATTAATACATTTAGAATATGAATTGGCTTTTGTGTACATTTGCCTTATAGTTCTGCAAAGTTTGGGCCCTTTAAGATCTTATATTAAATAATGATATCACTAAGTTTGCATTGGATAATTCTTATTAGTCCTTTTTTGGTAGCTTCTAGTAGCATAATAGGCCTCATGTTTTCGAGCTGTAGATCCTATTCTGCTAATTTTGGAATTGAAAAAATCATTCCAACTTTCCATTTCTTTGGCATGATGCTTTCTTCTATAATACTGTTTAGAAAATCCAGAAAAAGATCTGTGGCTTTCTTACCTAGTCTCTTTAGAATTGTGTATTCTATATTGGATAACCCTAGAGCTAACTTGTTTGAAGTTTTGTGTAGTATCTTTTTCTATTCATTTGTTTCGATTTTTTTGAGAATATTATTATACCAGTCTTGCTGTATATAGTTATATGGTGTGTATTTATCTTGCTAGGCTTCTTCCTTCTCTTTTGTGTTTAGCATGTCTTTTTGAAATTGTTCCGCAAAGTATTTGCAATTTCTTGTTTAACTTTGTCTGGTTCGTAGATAAGCTTCTTTTTTCTATATTGTTATTTGCTGTTACAAGTATTCCTTCTAGTGAGATCTTGTTCTAGAGTCTTTCCAGGATGCTAATGAGCTTTTTTTTTTTCTTCTTTATCTATCATGCCGAATCTTCTTTTGATATTTTCTCTTATTCTTTTTTCCTGTTCTATTCTTTGTTCGATAGTTAACTTCTATTTTAGCAGTTGAATTAATTTCAACAATTAAATTAATTTTATTATTTAAATTAATTTCAATAGTCAAATTAATTTTAATAGCTAAATTAATTTCATTAGCTAAATTAATTTCAACTACTAAAAATAAATTCAGTTTTAATAGTTGAATTTAATTTCAATAGTTAAAATATTTTAAAATTGAATTTTAATTTTACTCCTATCTATAGATACACCAAACTGGAAGCAAAAAGTACCTACCTAGAATAATCTATACTGTTTTAGAAGTTGAAATAGTAGATAATATGAATAATATAGTAAATATGTGAATACTAATTGGTAGTTAGAGAATGATGTACAAATCTAGATTAGCTATATAATAGAAGTACAAAAAAGCTCTGGTAGATTTTAGCCATAGAAAAATAGTTTGTATAACTTGATATTCTAGTTCTAGTTCTTTATATATATCAACACTATCATATGTCAATTATTTAAGTATTAAATAAAGTTTGGGGCAGGTGCTACACCCCAAATATTAAAAAAAATATATACTATATAGTACTGACTACAGTACACTCTTGCTATAATACTCCCAATAGAAGAACCTGAGTACAATTTATGGGTTTGTATTTGTGATTATAAAATAATACTTGGATATAATATAAATTTCACTTGTTATAATACACTCTATAAAAAAGATCTGTGTATAATTTATAATTTTAATTTATATATAAGGTTGAACAAATTATTTACCTAAACTAGCATCATAATAGTAATTTATTTACCATAATTACTTAATTAATAATCTGCCAATAAATGAGATTTGTCAATCAAAAAGTATTAGTTAAATTCGAAGAAAAAATTATAATAATATTGTTCTTTTCTAAATATTTTTTTCTTGTTTAGTATGACACAACTTTTAGCAATAGAAAGTATAGTAAATAGTCTTCATTATGGTCCTTTTTGTTTATATTGGTGGAGTTTTTTAGAAAAATAAAAATATATACCTTATCATATTAATTATCATATTCATATTAGTTTAAATTCTCAAGAGTTTATAATACGTATAACCCAAGATAGCTTTAAACCAGAGTTTATTTGTGAATCAGATCCTAGCAATAAAATTTATAATTCTCCTTTTGCTGCAATAACAACTTTTTATAATAAACTTTTTCTAGAAAAAACATACTTTTCAGGACTTTATATTTTAGGATTTAATAACAAAGATATTGTTAATGAAATATTAAAAGATATTTCATTTATTTCATTTTATATTCAATATAATAATCTCAATATTTTAATTGCAAATATAGAATTTTTGAACAATAACTATATGATCAGATCAGGATATCTTGCAAGTTTTTTATATACAATTAGTAAAAAAAAATACCTTATTGTTCAATTGGTTGATTCAAATGACTATATTATTACAGTATATAGTCAAGAGCAAAATTTATATTTATATAGTGGAACAACACCTAATGAAGTTTGGAAAAAAATGGCTTTTCTTCAAGGAATTATATTATTTAGTTTAGATAATTTTCATATACAAGAAGTGATTCAGTTAGCAAAATATCCTATAAGAGATTGGAACAATTTAGAAGCAATGAACAAAGCATGTTAATGCTATTTGTATAGGCAAATAGCAACTTCAAAAATTGATTGGTATCAATTTTTTGTTAATTGGAAGGCTCAAAAAAGCAATATAATTGATTCAAATCATTTTTAAAGAACATATATCTATCTAACTATATTTTTAATGAACAAATACTTCGAGCATGGCGTGCTATATTGTGAAATACTGGATGTACAGATATTACACCTTTTAATAGACATAAAATATTGAAAAGTATTATTAGTTTTATTATTTGTATTGTTGCTTAACAAAACTATATTTAGAGTATATGAGTATATACTCTAAATATAGTTTTGTTAAACAATAATGCATTTTATATATTAAATAGATATTACTAATTTTATATTATTAATTATCTAGCCTGAATTTTGGACTCGTGCATTTGATCCAACAGCTAATCAAGAAACACTTACATAGTTATATAATGCCAACTTGTTTATTATTGATTCTTCTAATATAAAATTAGATATTAGCTTTAATTCAAAAACACGATTTTGAAGAAGTTTAGAAAACTCTATTCAAAAAAATAGAAATGGATTAGATAAAAAGCAATATATACTTTCTATAATAGCTGAGGAGTTTAAACTAAAAAAGCTATATAACAATTTAAAAATATTAAATAATCTTGTATATGCAGCTAAACG